CCCCGGGAAAAACCACATTCCTGGGGCAATGTCCACCAGACTGTAATGGACCTGTCACACCTCTGATACTGGGTCCCCAGCTCTTCAGCAAAGCATGGAGGACAGCGGGGCAGGGCCCCCGTCCTGGTGACAGCACCTGCACAGGACTCGACACCACCAGCTCCCAGAAAGCAGAGCAACCCCCCACTCACCCAGCTGAGCGCCTCTGCTCATGACGCATGAGTCATTTCTGTTAATGGAACTTTACCCATTTTTAATAACTTCCTGTTATTAGAAAAGTCACACAGCCTGATATACAACAAATAGCAAAAGCCAAAATGAAAAAAAAAAAACATTAACGTGCAAACCATTCCTCCATAACCCCGTTGCCCCGAGATTATCACTATGTTGGCTCTTTATTGCCTTCCTAGGTTTTCAGCACCGTGTCCATCAAAATGGTCTCCTCACATATGTGTTTTGCTATCTATTTTGAAGCCAGCAGCATATTGTGAGCCGTTTTTTTAACCAATAAATACCCTTCTACATTACTATCCATAATGACTTTCGAGCATTCTACGGTAGAAATGCCCGTCTCTTGTTCAGCAGTGATTCTCAGCCAGGAGCAGTAGCATTCACCCAAAGGGACATTTAGAAAGATGAAGAGGCATTTTCAGACGACCTAACGGTGGCCATTAGGATTTAGTGAGGAAGAACCCAGGGTGACGAGCCTGTTACGGTGCACAAGGAGGAAACGTCCAACCTCAGAGTCGATATCGTCTCAGCCAAGAGGCCTTACGCCGGTCCTGGATGCTGGCATATTTTGATTATTTCCAATCTGGGGACTATTTTTTTTTTCAATATATGAAATTTATTGTCAAATTGGTTTCCATACAACACCCAGTGCTCATCCCAAAAGGTGCCCTCCTCAATGCCCATCACCCACCCTCCCCTCCCTCCCACCCCCCATCAACCCTCAGTCTGGGGACTATTTTATTTTATTTTTTATTTATTTTTTTTTTAATTTTTTTTTCAACGTTTTTATTTATTTTTGGGACAGAGAGAGACAGAGCATGAACGGGGGAGGGGCAGAGAGAGAGGGAGACACAGAATCGGAAACAGGCTCCAGGCTCCGAGCCATCAGCCCAGAGCCTGACGCGGGGCTCGAACTCACGGACCGCGAGATCATGACCTGGCTGAAGTCGGACGCTTAACCGACTGCGCCACCCAGGCGCCCCTAAGGACTATTTTAAGTAATAGCAGTGAATATCCTTACACAAAAATGTTGGTGTTCAACTCTTCCCTAAAGACAGTCCCAGAAGGGGCACTATGTGCCCCCAAATCATATACAAAAGATTTCTGACACATTTCCCCAAATGTCCCCCCAGAAAAGCTTAATCTGCACTCTGCCGGTGGAGATGAACATTAACTTGCTAGTCAGCAACACCATAGAGAAGAAACGGGAACTGAACGGAGAGTCCGGAGGCCAATTTCCTCCCTTAAGATCTCTACCATCTGAAGCAAGCCACTTAATCTCTCGGAGCCTCGAGTTTTTCATCTAGAAAATGGAAACAGCACCTGTTCTGCCCATATCACAGGTTTAGCGTAGGCCAAGTAAGATGCTACATGAAAATTTCTAAGGCGTGTCAGAATAGCTTCCCCGTTGGGCTGGCGAGGACAGGGAGCAGCCAGGTTTGCAAGTTCATGACCGTCCCCACCCAGGCAGGCAGAGTGAGCAACGTGGGCCAAGGTGCAGCAGCCCCAGTATCGGGAATTATCCTGGGTGGTGAGAAAACACTATGAAGACCAAACATGTCACATCTGCAGGACTTATCAGGTCCATGCTCACATGTCTTCAACTTCTTCTTTTTTTTTTTTTTTTTTGGAACAAATTTTAATGATTATTTATTTTTGAGAGAGGGAGAGAGCGAGCACAAATGGGGGAGGGGCAGAGAGAGAGGGAGACACAGAATCGGAAGCAGGCTCCAGGCTCTGAGCTGTCAGCACAGAGCCCAACATGGGGCTTAAACCCACAAATTGTGAGATCGTGACCTGAGCTGAAGTCAGATGCTTAACCGACTGAGCCACCCAGGGGCCCCTCGTGTCTTCAACTTCTTAAACCTCAATCACACAGGATTCTCGCCAAGCAGAATGCCATTCATTCATTCGTTCATTCATTATTTTTGCAGAAATGGGCGTCTCTTAGGGGTGTGCGCCAGTGTGGACAACTGCCGGTTGTTTGTCGGGGGGATCCCCAAGACCAAAAAGCGAGAAGAGATCTTAGCGGAGATGAAAAAGGTCACCGAGGGAGTCGTCGACGTCATTGTCTACCCGAGCGCCGCAGATAAAACCAGAAACCGGGGCTTTGCCTTCGTGGAGTACGAGAGTCATCGGACAGCTGCCATGGCCCGAAGGAAGCTACTGCCAGGTTGGCATCCCCTCCCCAAAGAGAAGGTTCCTCTGCTCTGCCTCAGGCTGCTGTGTGCCCTGCAGAGGAGGTATCTGCTGGGTGTGGTTGGCTTGCTCTGGAGCTTTGCTTCTGCGCTTTCCTAACTCCCTTCCCCTTCTTATCTATGTTACCGTAGACTAAGCTCCCTGAAGTTTTCACCGAATGGGTTCTGGAAAACATGCCCTTAGTCTAATGTACTTGCCCTGGGGACTTCCAGAACTAGGAGCTGCAGCAGCCCTGTAACAAGGTGTTAAAGTGAGGAATCTTCTCAAAAGTGAATATATACATTATTTTTCTACACAGATGCTGTTGTCAGGCTTACTAGAAATGGAGGAGGTTGTCCATTACAATGTAGAATAAGCCTGCAAGCGACACATTAGCCTGATGGCAATTAAGTGACATAAACTCATACCGTGACTCTTCCGTGTCTAATGTGGGGCTGGGGGCAGGGTAGAAATAACAGCCCTCCACAGAAAGGCACCTAGTAGGTGCTACAACCACAGGGTGGGTCCTGTTTGGGCAACAGCCACCAATTCCAGAGATTAAAAGACTCCAACAAGGCCCTCCCTCAGTCAGATCAGCTTAGGGTAAATTGTTGAAAGTCCTCTGCTCATTCTAAAATAGTCACCAAAATTTACACAAAGTAAGGTATTAAGAGGCATCGATACTAAAATGAGAGGATTTCAAGAATGCCAGAGTGGACACATTGGAATCAACTCTTCTCTTGAACACCATGGAAAAGCCATGAGAATTAAAGACAAAACAACCACCACCTAGATTTACATTGTCCACATACACATCCTTACAAACAAGCCATGATGAAGTCACAGGGATGGAAGGTACAGAGTCGGAATGTAGTCAATGGTACTGTAACAACGTTGTAGTCAATGGCGTTGTATGGGGCCATGGTAGCGACACTTGTGGTGAGCATAGAGTTGTCCGGTCACTGTGTTTTGCCCCTGGCACTAGGGTAACATGGGTATCAACTATACTTCAGAACATAAACAAGTGTTAACTCAATGAGAGCATTCACCCTCTAGAAGTTTGCAAAATTAGAAGACGGCTTCTGATCTTGGGGAAGACTTTTTATCCATATTTTCATGGAGGCAGCTTATAAGGGAAAAGATAGGAAACAGCCCCCAAATTTGCTGAGTCCTTTAGAGAGATGGGCATTTTTAATGTCGATGCTTCCTTTCACTACTCCGTCACCACCCAATGGTCAGACCTGTGCCGCCCAGGCACAGAGAATCGCGGGCCCTCCTCATGAGGCACCCTTAGCTTTTTGGTGACCTGAACTTCATCTCTGGTGTCTTCTTCAACTCTTCTCTGTTCAACAGTTCTGCCATGAAAAAGTTCCTTGTATCCATACTGACCTCAGACTACCCATAGAGTCTCAAAACATTTATTCCCAAACATAGACTGTTTTCAAACACTCAAGATTATTCTTCCCGCTCTGTTCTTCTGGACGTACCCCACCATCTGCCTACTCCATTCTGAACACTACCCTCAGGTCACTGTTTCCAAATATCAGGTCATCTTTTCTACAATTCTTGCCAATAGTAGGAATTTGATCTCTATGTGTGGAGAGACTGAATGGTGCCACTCTGTCCCAAGGGGGTTGGGGAGCACAGCAGTGAAAGACGGTCCAAAATGGGAGAAAGATAGTTTTCAGGAGCCAGTGTTCCTAAAGAACTAGAATATCCCCTCAACTTCCTGTCTTCAAAGAAAAGAGCATATCGACCCATGAAAGTGCTTCTCTCTACCTGCGCAGTCTACTGCCCCTTTGGACACTCTACCTATTACCTCACCATACAGTCAACAACAGAGGATTTCGGTCACTGACTGTCCTCTGGAGGGCCTAGTCTGAAAGGAGATTTTTACTAAACGTGATAAGCAAGGACCACAAGAAGCTTTTCCTTCTTCGTTGATTCAGACTTAGAGACAGAAAATTGCTGTCGAACACGATGTATTGCCTCCCAGCCACCTACCTTCCCAGGTGACAGCAGGAGCCCTCTCTGGACATTGCAAGTTTGCAGAGGCGTGTGTCAAACAAAGTCATTGCATCCAACTGAGAGGCCAGCAGAACATTCAAAGGATACTCTGAGGAAAGCCCTAGCGTCAGCCTGCACAGGGACCACCTGGAGGGTTTGTCAAAGTGCAGCTAACCAGGCCCCACCTCCAGGGTTCCGGAGTCAGAAGGTCAGGTATGGCGTCTGCCAATTTGCCTTCGTAACAAGTTCCCAAGATGCTATGCTTCTGAGACCATGAGTCTGAGAACCTGCAATCTAAGTCAATGACTGTCCCTCGTGGGCCGCAGATCTGAATAACCTGAGGATGCTTTTAAACAGTACCAGAAACCAAATCAATCTCTCCTCAGCTGAATCTGCTTCTCTGGGGCACTGGTGTTTTCAGTTTTCCAGATGACCTTGTAGTGGAGCTAGTTTTGCGATCCAGTGCTAAATCCTCCAACGAAGGGTTCTGGCCATCACCTGCATGGGAAGTCAACAAGTACACGTGGAAACCACTCAGCACGGGAGCATTTACTAAGACTCTACAATGTGCTTTGCTCTCTTCTGAAGGAAATTCTTAAAAAAAAAAATCAAACCTAACTATTTCACTCAAAGAGTGCACACTCTGAGGAAACTAGACACACAAGAAAAGAGACCAAACAAAAAAGTCCCTTATGTGTATCATCTTTTATTTTCACAACAGCACTGGGTAGTGACTTTGATTATCCCAATTTTATAAATGAAGAGATTGATGGTTAGGAAGGTGGTGTCCTAGCCAGGATGGCGATCTGATGTTTGAACTTGTCTGGCTTCAGAGGCCATGTTTCCAAATCCCTCTGCAACACTGACTTTCAGGGGATGTTTGAGATCACTGCTTACCGTACCTCCTCTCATTTCTGTCCACTTCAGCCTTCTGCAGATTTTCAGGCCAGCTGAAGGCAGACTGTAGTTCCAGGCCAGGAAGGCTAGAGCAGTGTTCTCAACTTTGGCTGAATTAACTGAGGTGATTTTAAGAATCCTGAAACCCGGACCACTCATATCAAATTTGGGAAGGAGAGTCCTGGGGTCAGTGATGAGCTGGTCAATCTTTTTTTTTACTTAGGTTTATTTATTTTGAGAGAGAGAGAAAGAGTGCAAGCAGAGGAGGGGCAGAGAGGGGGGGGTGCAGAGGGAGAGAGTCCCAAGCTAATAGCACTAACAGGGTGGAAGCCAATGCAGGGCTTGATCTCACGAATTGTGAAATCATAACCCAAGCTGAAATCAAGAGTCAGATGCTCAACCAACTGAGCCACCCAGGCGCCCCTGAGCTGGTCAATCTTTAACAGGCAACTCCCAGAGAAAATCCAAAGTCCTGCCTTGTAGTATGTGTAGATTCCCATGGTATTAACAGTCCCACTGTGGCTGATTTCAAACTACCAAGATGGCATCCACTGGCTCACACAATTCTGAAAACTTAACAGTCCAGTGTTGCAAGTGGAAAGGAACTGGGTCCAGCTCAACAATGAGTGGGACTCAGGTTGGGTATTTCTCAAAGCCCTTACAGTCTGAGGACAACTCTGAGAAGCCCTCAGCTACAGAAACCAGGGGGATCTTGGGCTAGGACAGTCAGCAAAGACTATGTAAAACACAGGAAAGAAAGGGAAGGAAAACAAAGCAAAAGGAGTGAAAGGAAAAGGAAGGGGAAGGAATAGAAGGGAGCAGAGGGAAGAAGAGGGAAGAGAGGGATGAAAAAAACTATCCCCTGGGATGCAGGGCAGGTAGCTAGCCACTGGGGTCCCACAAGAACCAGCCCCTCTGGGATTAGCTAACTCATGTAAACGTGTCTCTTTTTTGTTCGGGTTTCAGGGAGTCAGTGCCACAGATGGTTTCACTAACTGCTTTCCAAAGAATAAAAAGATGCCTTTTGATTGAAAATAATTGCCTCCCATGTGGAATAATAATTGAACAACTGAACCCTTACCAACACTGAAAATTTCTGATTGTGTTCTCTCAAGCTTTTTATTGCTTCCAGGCTGTAGCTTGTTCCAAAACAACTAATAAAAAACACACAAGACTTCCAATCAAATTTAGAAGTTGAGTTGACCCCCCATCACTTCAACTGGGCTCTGCCCTGTGTAGGGGTCCAGGGCTGGGTAACCCCAAAACACAAAGGAGCCATGAAGAAGTGAAGTGGGTCTGGGCAAGTTAGTCATCCCTCTAAAGCTCATTTCCTCTTCTGTAAAATCGAGACAGTCACTCCCCTCCCCCAGAGAGTTACTGTGAGCGGGAACCAAGGTAGCATATGGAAAACACAGTATATAGTGCAAGACACTCAATAAATTGCAACTGTAGAAATACAAAAATATACGTAGTCATGGGGAACAACTACCCCTTTAAAAAGAGTTCGGTTTCTCATCATAGACCCTTCCATTACTCTTTGTCTTCTCAATTGGGATCAAGAATGTTTCTTCCAATTCCCAAGTTGCCCATGTGCAGCCAGAGAACTAGGCATGAACACAGATGATTGGAGCCCTGACCAAGCATAAGGGACAGAGAACAAACCAGGGTTGCCTGAGCCCTGCTCACTCCTGCCCACACACCACGGGTTTTTAGACTGCTCGGTGGTGGCACCTGGTCACGCAGATTCTAGAAGCAGCAGACATACTCCCTAATGACCTTAATGCTTCATGAAGTCAGACTCTATGTCCAAGCCCTAAATCCATTGTTTCTCTTCTCTTCTTCTGCCATCTCACTTTCAAAGACTTACTTTCCCCGTGAGAGCTGTTCAAAGACCCAAACCTGCCCATCGTGGCCTCATTTCTGCCCCATTTCAAACCACATCCCAGTTCCCTTTGTATTCAATTATCACTGTAAACCATCTGTCACACAGAAGTCCCTTCTAGTCAGCTCTTCCATTTATTTGGAATGTTTCTTGAAATCAGTATCCACCTCTTTTAATATTTGTCTTCGTGCTCAGTCAAGACCATAAGCATCTGCTGAAGTTAAAAGGCCATCTCAGTGAACCGAGATGGCATTGTCCTGGTTTCTATATAACTAATCATACCTGTGATCCTTTTGAACAGGAAGAATTCAGTTATGGGGACATCCTATCGCAGTAGACTGGGCAGAACCAGAAGTAGAAGTTGACGAAGACACAATGTCTTCGGTGAAAATCCTGTATGTGAGAAACCTGATGCTGTCTACTTCTGAAGAGATGATTGAGAAAGAATTCAACAATATTAAACCAGGTGGGAAATACCATACAAGATGACTGTTTTGAAATGTGCTCTGAAAACACTTAGGCTTGAGATGACTTCCCATAACTTTAAACAGGGCAGGCTTCGTGTGGCACTCTCATAACTGCATGAGGACTACAAACACCATATTTCAACCTTGGATCAGAAAATAGGGACATGTGGTCCATAACATTGATCAACATTATAATTTTACAATTATCTGTGTGATGCCTTAATTAACACACATTGCCTTCACTAAACTATAAATTCCAAGAGAGTTTTTTAGCTTCTATTGTCTCCTCAGCCCTTATCTCTGTGCCAGGTCATAGTAGACACTCACTAAATATTGACTGTGTTGATGAATGCATGGCCATAACTCTGGTTCTGAGGCAGGGCTTCTCGGCCTCAGTACTCTTGATGGTTTAGGCCATATAATTCTTGGTCATGGGACTCTGTCCTGCACATTATAGGAATTTTAACAGCATCCCACACCTCTATCCACTAGATGCCAGTCGCAAGCTGTAATAATAAAAAATGTCTCCAGACATTTACCCTGGAGGGAAAAATTGCCCCAAGTGGAGGACCACTGGTCTAATGCAACATGATTGTGACTTTAGGTACATAAGGAGGGAGGCAAGAATTAATTCTAGGAGACTCATTTGGGTGAAGAGGAGGAGGAAGGAACTGAACCATGAGATTCAGTCCTTATCACTTTTTTCTCATATGGGAACTATAACAGTGAGACAGTAAAACATCTCACCAAACAATGTCCAAATAATCATTTCCCAAAGCCAGCTCTGTGGAACATTAATTCTATGGACTGTTAGTAGATGCTTCTGATAAAAGAGACCCATGGTCAAATAAATTTGTAAACAACAACTTCACCAACATCAGACAGATTTTTTTTTCATTGTGGGACTTATCAGAGTCCTTAACCTTCTAATATGCTTTGAAAGTATCCAAAAGAAGAGATATAGGATGCCTCATTTCCCAAATTTTTGGAGTACAGATCTCGTTTTTTTGGCTAATCATCTTGTGGAATTAGCATGTTTTGGGACACGCTCTGGCTAAGTTTATCACTGTGGGAACACCTTTCCATAAATTAAAATGTTTCTGTCTCCAGGTGGTAATTCTCTGCTTTGTTGATAAGCATGAGCCATGGTGCCATCATGTTAAGTCGGCTGGAGAACGTTCCCCTCGTGTGTTCCTGTTGCCAACTCTGGGTGCCATGTCAGGTGTAATAGAATAAGCTGATGATTTGTTCTGAAGATAATTAGTAAGGATGCCACTTCTCGCTTTTGAAAGATTCACCAGATTCTTTGTTTGCCAGCCTTTGGGAATTCTGCCAACTTCCTGCCATTCTAGTATAATGGTGTGGCCCCATGCCCCCAGCTGTGAGTCCATTACTAACATAGAGACTGCAAGTGGTTGGCTGCTGACTGCTCACTTATGCTCCAGGCATTGCCATGGGCACTTTCCCAGCACGTGTCATTTATTCAGCACCATGACTCCAGGATATAGGTTACTCTGTCACTCCCATCGTAAAAATGAGAAAACCAGAACCCAGAGCTGTTAAGTAGCATGCTCAGGGTCATACAGCTTGCAAGGGGCAAATCCCAGATTAGAGTCCAGGTCTGGCCAAGACCATGTTCTTCACAACTCTGTGACCTCCATGCCCCATCCTTACTGCATTCATTCACTCATTCATTCAACTGTCATTACTTCAGTAGCTCCTATGTGCCAGGCACTGTGGGAGGAGTGAACAGGCGTGAGGTGTGTGTGGGAGGAGTTCAAGATACTCCAGAAGAATAACAGCAATGACAGCCCGCCCTTGTGGTGCAGAGAGACTCGTGTTTAAGAGGAGTAAAGCGTGAGCTGAGGTACGAAAGTTGACGCATTTGTGGGCAGAGGAATGAGACATGCGTGTGTAGATGCTGCTCCCGCTTTGTGTTGACTTCCGACCTTCTTATTTTTATTCAATACTTTTTTTCCCAATCTTTTCAATAAATTGTATTGAGAGAATGGCACGTCCACACAGTTGGACTGGATTGATGTGAGATATAAAGTTAAATCAAAAGGGATCAGAGACTGATCAAAACAAAGCTAGTATTATAAAAACACTAGAGGAACATACAGGGCAAAGCTTCATGGACATTGGATTTGGCAATAAATTCTTGGATGGTATTAAAAGTAGAGGCGACAAAGAAAAATAGATTAAATGAACTATATACAAATGAAAAAGCGCATCAAGGGACACTTTCAACACTGCAAAAGCAACCCACAGAATAAGAGAAGACACCCGCAAACAATATAGCCGGTAAAGGATCAACATCCCAAGTATATCAAGTGCGCCAATAAGTCAACGGCTAAAAATTAAGACAAGTAAAACTTCAACTATATACTTGTCCACAAAACGCTATTGTCCAATTACCACATACACATAGCCCATAAGCCCATTAAAAGATGCTCAACATCCCTCGCTATGCACCAGGAAAATGTAATCCAAAGCCATTTCCTGCCTCCCAAGATAGCAAGAGTAGCAGTAGTAATCGAACAAGAAGAAGAAGACACAGAAACATCGGGGAGTTTGTGGGGCAATTAGAACCATGTGCCCTGTAGCTGGAAATACAAGGCTGGTGCCACCTCTGTGGAAAACTACACGCTGGGTACTAACGAACGTACGATTACCAGCAGCGGAACAACACTCAGACCTAAACCATACGGGAGTGTTGAAACGCGCAACTTGAATGAACCTCGGAGACCTTATCCCAGTGAAACAAGACAGTCAAAAGGACGTACGCCATCTGATGCCAGTTATATGAGGTACCTAAAGTCGTCACATTCGTAGAGACAGAGTGCAGAATGGTGGTTACCCAGGGACAGGGGACAAAGGATTCAGAAATAATTATTTCATAGACACAGCGTTTCAGTCGGGGTTCATAAGACGGTTCTAGAAATGGACGGTGATGATAGCTGTACATGGTATTTTTTGATCTAATTAAAACACGACCTTTTTTTGTTTGCTTTTTTGTCCTACTAGTTATAATGAAGATAATAAATGCTAGCGCTCTCTCCCTCTCCACCTCTCTCCCTCTGATGGCACAACTCAGGGCTCTATAATGATGTGTGGCGGCTTCTTGGCACTCCACAAGAGAATATGAATTATACGGGATGGATAACTAGCAGACATCTGCTGTATTAGGAATAAAAAGTCAGAGCTGAACTGGTTTATTTTCCAGTGGAAAGGGTGTGTTTATACTTCTCTCGGAAAATATATGGGGAGAAACAGGAAAATAACACTTTAAAAATCCTATTTAAAGTTCGGGTCCCTCGGAAAAGCCCGAATATTCCTGGCAAATATTCGACCGCCTTGTTTTAACCCCGATTAGCCTGGAAATATTGTACTGCCACTCAGAGAGATCAATGACAATCAGAACAGGAACTGGGGCTGAAAATGTACGTTTTTCCCCAGCGTAGCCTAAGGGTATGCGCGGAAATTCCAATTATAGTCATTCTACAAAATCTGATTTCTCTAAAACAGTTTAGCGTCAGAATCCGCAGGAGGAGCTTGTGAAAACAGACTGCTGGCCACCTCGCCCCATCCCCACTCCCCCGCCCCATGGTTTCTGAGTCATGGGTCCGGGGTGGACCTAGGCTGATACTTGCTGGTCAGAAGACCACACTTGGAGAACCACACCCCTCTGATAATCCTCCTTGGGATCCCAGGTGTGTTTCTCTTCAGGTACTCGATGTGCTGCTCTTCAGAGTGCTATTTTTCTAATTCCCCATATTAGGACTTCAGAGTCTTTTCACCATTGCTGACGATGACCACGGGCATTTTGTTTTCCTCCACCCTCTGCCAAATGACGATCAATCAGTAAACAAACTCCTCTACACTAAAGAAGGGGCATACGATAATAAGCCAGATGGTCAATACCATTGTAGAGAAAACCAAGCTCACACGCTCAAATTTGTTTCACGGGGCTACCTTTTTATACAGTAACATTTCCAAGATCAGGTGTAGCTGAACAGTATTGCTCAAAAATGCCAGTCTGTTTCCTTGTCTACGAACAGAATTTGAGGACATTTAGATCCATTGTCATCTGAAATGCCACCTAACTAATAGGAACGACAGAAGTTGGCGTGCGAATTGACTAGTAATATTCATTCGTCCCATGTCTGTTTATAGAGCATCCTCTGTACACAAGGGAGGAGGTAGGACCTAGGTGAAGACAGTACCGAGATGGCCCCAAAGGAGATCTCGTTCTCAGGGGGCTACCAGTCTAGTGGAGCCTAGATGAGGGACAGGACTGGAGAACGCACAGAGCAAAGACTGGACAGACAGAGGTCCTTATCGGCCCACCTTTGACTTCTCAGTCACCAGGACAAGCCATGGGGTTACGTCATGAAAATTACCCTACCCGACCCTGGAGGAATGAAGACAGTGTGCTGGAAATTCAGGGAATTACGTGTCCCATGCTTCATGGTCTCAATTGCCTTTACGTACGTTCTCCGCCGAGCCGGACAATTCTGCTCTCTACACCCTTTGCCAGAAGAAGTCAAGTGCCGGATGCAGAGGGAAGAGAGAGGGCCACAATGGTTTTACATCATCCTGACAATACAGCTCTACCATTGTTCCAAAAGAAGATAACATACAGCCGTTGAACCACGTGGCAGAGTAAAACGTCTAACTGTCTTTGTGACCTTGAATCTGACAGGATAGATGACTGAGCTTTGATAGGGAGGCGACAAAAGGAGAACCCTCATGTCCTCTTCTGGGCCCCCCTGGGAAAGTGTCCCATCCTATGTGATGTCTGGGAACTTAGGAGAGGAGAAGAAACCGCATCTCTCAAGACACACCCACGTGAGTGTCACTAAAAGAGGACAGTCGTCACACTAAACTACTAACAAGTTAATGTCAAAGAAGTTTCCATTTTACCTTCACTCTAGGTGAAACTTCTATTTAAAATTTTTTTTAATGTTTATTTATTTTTGAGAGACAGAGTGCAAGTGGGGAAGGGGCAGAGAGAGGGAGACACAGACTCTGAAGCGGGCTCCAGACTCCGAGCTGTCAGCACAGAGCCCGACGTGGGGCTCGAACTCACGAACCGCAAGATCATGGCCTGAGCCAAAGTCACACACTTAACTGACTGAGCCACCCAGGCGCCCCGAAACTTCTATTTTTAAAACTGAGTAGGCAACAATATTCTCTAACAACATTTTCATAATCAAGGTAAAATATAAAGTTCAACCGTGTTGGTAAAACGTTTCTTTCTTTTTTATTTTCATGTTGCCATTAGCACCTGCAGCAGTCTCTCTACATTAAAATAGGTCAGGTCAATTTGTTATTTTTTTATTACACAAACAATAGAAATAAACATTGCACATGTTTGTAAAATGCCAAAGAATATAAATTAACATGTGAAAGTCCCCTTTATTCTCTGCAAATTTTCTCCCCATTCCTTACATAACCTGTATTAACAGTTTGGTTTCCAGCTCTCTTTCTCTGTGTGTGTGTGTGTGTGTGTGTGTGTGTATCCATATTTCTCTGTACTTATACATGGGTTGGGATTTTGAAAACATAAATGTTACAAAATTATACTTACTATTTTACAAATTTTTGAATTTCACAATAGGTCTTAAATCTTTCCATGTAAGCATACATAGGTCTATCTTTTCTCTTTAAAGACTCATTTCTTTTTTTTTTATTTGTTTGAGAGAGAGGGTTGGGGGAGGGGCAGAGAGAAAGGGAGAGACAGAGAATCCCAAGCAGCCTCCACACCGTCAGCACAGACAGTGGGATGCGGGCTCCATCCTGCAAACTGCGGGATCACAACCTGAGCCGAAACCAAGAGCTGGACGCTTAACCAACTGAGCCGCCCAGGCGCCCCTAAACACTTATTTCATTTGATATGAATGTACCAGATTTAATCACTCTCAGGAGAATGGACTTTAAGTTGTTTTATTTTTGCTACCACAACAGTGAGAGCTAATGTCCTCATATATGATCCTTTTGCATATAGGAGTGCTTCTGTAAAAGATGTTCCTCAAGGGAGAATTCTTGGATATCTACATTGTTTCCAACATGTAGATATTATGAACAGCAGGGAAAGAACTATCTTGGTTTTCAAATGTTCTTTCAGAAACTACCTTTTTTTTTTTTTTTTTAATCAAAAGACTATCAGAGAAGCAGTTAAGAGATCAGAGTTCCAGTTCCTAGCTGTGCGAACCCTTACAAGTTCACCTTCCTTGTTAGAACCTTAGATTCCTAATCTTTAAGTTAAAAATAAATTAAGGTCAAGTGAATTTTTTTTTTTAATATTTTTAAGTTTATTTATTTTGAGAGACAGAGAGCAAGGGGGGAAGGGAAGAGAGAGACAGAGAGAGAGAATCCCAAGCAGGCTCAACACTGTCAGCACAAAGCCTGATGCGGGGCTCGAACCCACAAACTGCAAGATCGTGATCTGAGCCAAAACTAAGAGTTGGACACTTAACCGACTGAGCCACCCAGGCACCCAAGGTCAAGTGAATCTCTAAAAGCTTAAAGTAAAGCATTGCTAAAGTCTCTCCTAATTCTAAAGTTGTACTACATAAATCAAAAGAAATAAAATATTTGTCTGGGGGAAAAGCCATAAAATTTTATAAGGTAATTGCCTAAATATATATTTATAGGATGACCAATAGTTCAAAACAATTGAAAAAATATTTTACCAAGTATAAGTTACTATTGTTTACATTATATAGAGACAAAATAAGATAATGCTTCTACTCTTAAAGATCTTATAATCTAGGAAGTGGAAAACACAAATCTATAATAATATGGAAGAATATAGGTGATATAAAAAAATTACAAACAAAAGCTTCTACTGAATGTGTACAATTGTAAACCTGGACATAGCAAACATTCTCAAGGAGAACTTAACCTAAATAATAAGTCTCAAAAAAAAATCAAATACTCTTGGAAGCCAAATGCTAAAATGTACCATTCTCGGTGTTGTCTCAAGGTTGCTAATGGGGCTACTTTCTCTCTGTTTACAGGTGCTGTGGAGAGGGTAAAGAAAATCCGCGACTATGCTTTTGTGCACTTCAGCAGTCGAGAGGATGCAGTTGAGGCAATGAAAGCTTTAAATGGAAAGGTAATATAGGACAATGTGCGTGCACACACACACACACACACACACACACACACACACACAAGTTCCACCCAAGTTTGGTGTGGCAATTTTGTTCAAAAGAACGATCCCACAAGTCTGTGTCACTCAGGCTTTCTCTACCTCTAACATGACTGCCTCGATCCATTGAAGATGAACAGAAGAGTCAGCGACAGAAAACACCATGGAGATGTGACTCCTGTGTCCAGCCCTGTCTCTAATTTGGGCTGATTTGAACAAGTCACTGCCCCTCAACTTCCTTCCCAAGTGGGGGATTGGAGTATTGGCGTAGGTTATTTCAAGGTGTTTTTCTCAGGTGCAACTTTCTGTCATTACTTTGAGAGATTATCACCTCAGTAGTGCAGTATTTTGGAGGCTGATGACCAGAAAAGATGTCAAGTTCACTGCTGTCAGTCCGCCCTCAGAGTTTTGATCTCCCTACTCTGGAAGGCTTTGGGTCTCTTCACCTGGCCAAGAATGAGGTCCAGGAAAAAGCTAGTTTCTAAGTCCTTTCTCCTGACTTGTAAATAGAAACCAATATAATATTTACTTATCAATGCAAAAAACATTAAAACCCTTTGGGGCACCTGGGTGGCTCAGCCAGTTGAGCGTCCAACTCCAGCTCAGGTCATGATCTCGCAGTTTGTGAGTTCAAGCCCCGCGTCGGGCTCTGTGCTGACAGCTCAGTGCCTGGAGCCTGCTTTGGATTCTGTGTCTCCCCCTCTCTTTCCCTTCCCTGCTCACACACTCTCTCTCTCTCTCTCTCTCCTTTCACTGCCCTTCCCTCCCCCATTCTCTCTCTCTCATTTTGAATAAGGGCTTGAAGGAGGGCGGGAAATGAAAGTAGGAGAAATCTCCACGTAGGGCTATGGGGCATGAATTGAAAACATCCAGGAACTGATTGGATGTTGGAGTGAGCAGGAGCCATTGGCTGGTTTTCAATATGGGGGATCAGGATGATACTGTGGGGGAAGCCAGGAAAGGAAACCTATTTAGAGAGAAAGGGGATGAACTGAGCTTTGCATGTGGTTCTCTATTCTAGAAATCTTGTGGATGTCTCTGATGTGTAAGGAATTTTTCAGGGCTTGGGAATATACCAATGAATAATATATCACCCTAGCTCTTGAAACATCTAGAGCAAATCACTAAAAGACAATACTGAGTTTAAAACACTCAAGGGGCGCCTGGGTGGCTCAGTCGGTTAAGCATCTGACTTTGGCTCAGGCCATGATCTCACAGTGCAGGAGTTCAAGCCCCACATCAGTCTCTGTGCTGACAGCTCAGAGCCTGGAGCCTGCTTCAGATAATCTGTCCTCCTCTCTCTGTTCCCCTCCCCCACCCATGCTCTCTCTCTTTCTCTCTCAAAAATAAATAAATGTTAAAAAAATTTTTTAAAACCACTCCTACGGGGACAATGAAGCACAAATTCTATTACAATATGGAACCTGACTTTGCAGTAAAGAATCATTCCATTAAAAATGTCTCTTGATAGGAAGGTCTATAAGCAGAGACCTATTTGGGTCTCTCTCACCTTCCTCAAGACAGGACTGAAGATAAAGAATCTTATTACCAAGACCACCCCCTTCCTTTGATACTCTGATCTGTTGCTTCTAATTATAGCAACACCATTGTAAAGATAGGTAAATATCATCAGGATTCTCTCTCAGTATATTCCAACTAACATATTCAAGACTGGCTCTTGCTGTTAAAAAGTAGGGCAGATATAGGAAACTAAGAACAAGTTGCCCCAAGGCTGACCAAAATGGTCACAACAACCAAGAAGCACAACTTTGTCCGGCCAACCTCAATGACCCCAGAATGGACTGAGGCTCTCACCAAATGGCGAGCTGCTATGACAGAGAATCCTTGCAGGAACACTTCGTATCATTCCTTTTCTTTATAAAAAATAGAGGCTCACAACATTCTTATTCAGAGGAAGCTACAAATGCTTCCACGCAACACCTTGTCCCATTGATAAGAAATACGTCAATCCGTCAAGCATTTGTTGAGAGCCATCTTTGTCTCGTGTTGGCAAGCAAGAGAGAAAAGTGAGTGGCGCACATAGATCTACACACATCCATTATCTTCCACGTCGGGATCTGTTTGCAAAATGTTAGAAACTTGCGGCAGAAGCAAACACCACCCCAATAATTCTTGAGGACACATTTTAAGAAGTGCGTGACTTGAGAAATCACGGTGCTTCCCCTGGCTTCTCTGCCAATTCCCAGCTGTGCAACAGATCAAAAGGTTGCTTCACGGGTACCTGGGGGGAAAGTACAGTGGCCTCCTTGATCCCTCTTCCCTGAGTTAGGCCCCATTTTTAAGTCTCTTTTCTTTTCTAGTAAAAACTTACCTATTGTGTAGCCACTCTACGAAGTAAGCCATTTAGGGGCACCTGGGTGGCTCAGTCATTTGAGCATCCGACTTCGGCTCAGGTCATGATCTCATGTTTCGTGAGTTCAAGCCCCACATCAGGCTCACTATGATCAGCGTGTCAGTGCAGAGCCTGCTTTGGATCCTCTGTCCTCCTTTCTCTGCCCCTCCCCCGGTCAGGCTCTCACTGTCTCTCTCTCTCTCAAAAATAAACAAAACGTTAAAAAAAGAAGAAGTAAGCTATTTAACTGGCTGGCAGCTGGAACGACCTGACTAGGCTACCCGTGCCAACGTGCTAACAACCAATAAGATTTCTTTATTGGTTTCCTTTCACCTTCTTTGTGCTGTGCTAAGTAGTAAAGATTACGTTCCACCCATTATTAACCTAAAATTTCTTAGAATTGCATAACATGTAATTTAAAACATATATATCTCATAAAAATATCACATAACTCTCTGTTGCAATGACTGTATTCGCATAATTTATAACCTGTATGTCAGGAGACAGTGGTCAGTTTGTCACTGTGAAACCTGGTGCATATTATGTGCAACGTACCAACTCAGGAAAACTCAACTGACCCACAAACGTGAACCGATAAAGAGACAAGATATGTGTAAGTGAAACAGCGAACAGAGCAGCAAATTGACTAACGCTCAGGAGACTAGGGCTCAGCCGCACTGGGTTGCCTTTATATCTTCTGATGTTGTTTCTTCTTTGCTCTCTACAACAGGTGCTAGATGGTTCCCCCATTGAAGTGACCCTAGCCAAACCAGTGGACAAGGACAGTTACGTTAGGTACACCCGAGGCACGGGCGGAAGGGGCGCCATGCTGCAAGGAGATTACACCTACTCTTTGGGCCATGTTTACGATCCCACCACAACCTACCTTGGAGCTCCTGTCTTCTATGCCCCTCAGGCCTATACAGCAATTCCCAGCCTTCATTTCCCAGCCACTAAAGGACATCTTGGCAACAGGGCCATTATCCGAGCCCCTTCTGTTAGAGGTAATGCTCATCAGCTCTTGCCCTGGAATAACTCTACAATTTCAAATGATTTGTATTGCAATAGCCTTAGACAAATTGGATGGGTCCACTGGGAGAAAAGGACTGGAAAATTGTTCATGAAAAATCAAATATTATTATATCAATAGTTGTCCTTTCATAAAAATCTTTTTTCACATTACAACTGGTTATTGGAAAAACTTGGTCAGGACATAGCACAAAGGAATCTAATGCATACATTTGGTCTTCGCATGGGTGCATAAAGTTTGTACAGACTAAATAGTTAGCTTCTCCCTTATCATTGGACCACCACCATATTGCAGTCATTTGTGACTCATTAGAAAACTTACAAATGAAAGCAAGGATGGGCCAATGAAAACCAGTTATGTCAAATAGCAAAAACACGTCAAGGCACATGTGCCTTTGAGGGCGACTCAGGGGCCTATTCGTATATAAATCAAATTATCATAAACATGTTCTAAGAGACACATGACATGCTTTCATTTGACCTCCTCCCAGGATTATGCACTATGCCTTCTAAAAAGCCACACTAGTGAGGAAATCAACTTATTTCTCCAGGATATGGGGAACTAAATGGTAAGGTCCAAATAGAAAAAAGACTGACTACTAAACGATAAATCTTTCCTATGTAATCCTATAAGAGTTCCAAATGTTCAAGCAGTGTTCTGGGCTCAGTTCAAGCAAGATAGATGAAAAGGAAAGCATTTTTTTTAATTTCTAGTAAACTAGTTTGTCTCTGCCTAATGGGATCCATCAGAATGGTCTTGTTAGGATGTAGTTAATGCCAAAAGAATCCCAGTTCTGTCTTCCAAATATAAAACCATTCTGGGCAACTTGACAACAAACTGTGTATTTAAATCCCATCCTTGGGTTTTAGTTAGAAGTAAAGGGGCATGTCAGATTACTGTGGAAACTATCCTCTTACTGTCTTTTACTATTTTTCAGGAAAACTGAGTTGGCCATCCTAAGATCTCTAGTCTTCAACAGCCTTAAAATTTCCATAATCATCATAAAATCACTCTATCCAAGATTATAATGCTAAAGAAATCATCAGGTTTTCCTCCGGTATAATCTATGTGGTGACAAATTATGTCATTAAAATATTATACATTTGTAATCTGAAATCATATTATTAAATAATGCATACGTTAAATATAAATTGGCAACCAGTTGTAATGTAGGAAAAAAACAAACTCCACTCCAAGGGAAAAAAAATACCTTATAACAAGAAAGGAAATCAATGAATGAGATTCATGGATGAAGGGTAATCAATTTAATTTTTTTATCAACTTTATGCCATCAGTAGGAAATCAAAGTGGCAACACAGCAAAACAAAAAATCAAAAGGAATCTATTAATGAAACTCAATGGGAATTTAAGCCTCACATTGACAGGCCATGAAACAGAAAATAGTGAACTTAAAAACCGTTTTCTCAATGTTCCATTTCCCGACCGATCACTGGGGACGGAACTATTGGGGAAGCTAGAATTCATTTCTGATTTCCTGATCGAAGATAAAAATGCAACTCTTATTTTAATACATGTGGTCATAACACGCTGGGATCTTGAAATAAATGCCTTCCCAACATTTATTAGCCTATAGAAAAATATCAACAAAAGGTTAACTGCAGACAGAAGTTGCAAAATTTTTCTCTGTACCAAAGTTTTAAAGTTGCTCGTGTACTTAGTGATGATAGCTTTGATAGGATTGCTTTCTTCCCCAGTCAAAAAGAAAACACAAAAACACACCTGTGGCGACTCCTACCTTTTGTTGAGTTTCATTACATCAGAATCCTAGAGTTTTCTGTGCATCGTCAGGGCGGTAATCAATGGGACTTGGGCTAACTTTTCCATTTCAGTAAGATTCAGGGTGATTTTCTGGTGGTTTGATTCAGTTTAATGCCTTCTTACATTCCTAGAAATTTACATGAATGTACCTGTAGGGGCTGCGGGAGTAAGAAGACTAGGTGGCCGTGGCTATTTGACCTACACAGGCCTGGGTCGTGGATACCAGGTCAAGGGAGACAAGACAGAAGACAAACTCTACGACCTTTTACCTGGGATGGAGCTCACCCCAATGAATCCTGTCACTTTAAAACCCCAGGGAATTAAACTTGCTCCCCAGGTAGGTAATGTTATTCCGGAGATAGTTTCCTTAAGTTAGGCCAAAGACCTTCGTACACCTTTTGTCAAATGATTTGACTTGATCCCTACTTGGGCCACTGCTCGTTTTGTTTTGTTTACATAGATAAAGTGGCCAATCGACACAATGAGAGAATGCCCCGCCATTGAGTGTCACTGTCCCATTTCACTCTTCTTCTTAAAAATGAAGTTTGACACCCTAAATAATCTGAACAACTGGAAAACGAAGATCCTACTAAGAATTATTAACCAATACCTTAAATGCAAATAAAGTGCAGCAAAGACCCTGACTCAAAATAAATGCCTACTGTGTGGGAGTAGGCTAATGGAGAGTATTTGTGACAGGGAATGAATAGACCACTCTTATGTGCCAATAAAGGACATCCTTTATTGGAAACACTGTGGGGTTCTTTAATGTTTATTTATTTTTGAGACAGAGAATGAGAGAGAGAGAGAGAGAGAGAGAGAGAGAGAGAGAGAGAGAGAGAGACAGAGGTGAGTGGAAGAGGGGCAGGGAGAGAAGGAGACACAGAATCCAAAGCAGGCTCCAAGCTCTGAGCTATCAGCACAGAGCCCGATGCGGGTTTGAACCCACAAACCGTGAGATCGTGACCTGAGCCAAAGTTGGACACCTAACCTACTGAGCCACCCAGACGCCCCAGAAACACTATGTTTAAGAGATAAAAACCATGCTGCCGATGGTGATATCATTACCCATATTAACTATGAGATGCCATCACTCCTATCCAATTAAGTCTGCTACAATAATTATAGTTGGGCAGTGATTATGGGGAATTTTTAATGCTCTCATTCCACAGCTCCATGTTTCTGCTTGAGGCTGTGGTTTTTATTATTGGAAAATTAAAAGTTATAAAAGCTGTTCCAGTATGGAAAATGGATTAACAGGGGTAAAAATAAAACAAAACAGGATGTGTTAACCCTTAGCCCGTGGGTGTGCAGTACCTCTGATGGTCTCCCTGTAGAGACACTGGCTAAGGAACCAGTAACCGGTTGTTCAGAGGTACAGTCTGTGGACCCTAAAGGAAACATTCCTACTCCAGGCCCAAAGGTATAAGCCCCCAAGTTAATGGAAGTAGGCCTTATGATTGCAAGCAAATGGAAAACTTGGTTTTCTAACAGCTCATCCTGAGTACTATTTTTGCAGGATTGATGGTTGTCTTACACATCCACATTAGTTCATCTAAGGTTGCTGCTATCCTTACCCAGGCATTAAAAATAAAGATGCCTATCAGAGTGGTAAACAGCAACCATTTATTTATTCAAAAGCCATTTATTGGCCATGTATCATGCACCACGTATTGCGTTAGGTGCTGGGGATGGGAAAGAGAATATAATACGGTCTTTGCCATCAAAACTCATATGGCAATCCAGTAAGAGACAGCTGACACATAAGCCAATTAATTGTAATAAAATTAATTGTAATAAAATCATGATGAAGCCTTGCTCAGAAAACACTAAAGCTTGTCATCCAATCTATCTTGGGTTAAAATTTAAAATAAGGCACCTTATTAAAGAACTAAGATACTTGGAAATCTTTTAAGAAAATAAAAAATAGTAATTGTTATAAATTCCATGTCATAGTTCTATGAGCTGTCATAGCGTGAGGGACAATCTCTCCTTCTTGTATTCAACCCAGATCAGAAGTTGGTCGTGGTTTATAGTAATATGTGAGGAACCATCTCTAGCAACTAACGAAAGTTCTTTAATTTGTCTCTGAATCTCTACAACTACAGCTTAGACACTGAAGGCTGTGCCAACCCAAACCAACAGAGTTGGAACCTTAACAGTTCCACGGTGGAGTCACGAACGCCCACCAGGAGCAGAGAGACAAGGACTGTCCCGTACAGTCAGCAGTTGTAATCCCAGTAACTAGTAACCCATTAAACTTTTTACCTTGATTTTTACGAAAATGTAAAGTTAAAACCCTATGACAAACGACATGAAGTAGGAATATATTCTTAGGTTATTTTCTCTAAACCGCTGTAGACAGAAGGATTGAGGGTAATGAGGAAATCCAGCCACACAGTGCTGAAATGTCAGTTTTTCTTTAATGGAATAAATACATCCAACAAATCATAGAATTAAGCTATGGGTAAAAAAAAAAAGAAGAAGAAAAAGTTACGGCTAATGGACTGAACTAAAAACATATGAGAATAAATGGCGTGAAACGATTTTTGTGAATTAATAGATGTAACATTTTAAATGGAGTTCAAGTTGAGTTCGTCTTAAAATTGTATGAGTCATTAAACCATGTGGCATTTTATATTTTCTTACATTAGCTTCAACACTGAAGATTAGAGTTTAAAACCCTGAAAGCTGATGAAATAGTGCAAATACGACAATTGGAAGGAAAATCACTTTTTTTTTGTTTTAACTCTCATAGATATTAGAAGAAATTTGTCAGAAAAATAACTGGGGACAACCGGTATATCAGCTGCACTCGGCCATTGGACAAGATCAACGGCAACTATTCTTATACAAAATAACCATTCCTGCCCTGGCCAGCCAGAATCCTGCCATGTGCGTAACATCTCCAAATTCCTAATTTTCTAAGATTTTTAGAGTAAGAGTCTCCAGTAAATTGAGTGTATTTTGTCACTATCTTTTTTTGAAAATGTTTATTTATTTTGAGAGAGACAGAAGGTGTGTGTGAGCAGGAGAGGGGCAGAAAGAGAGAGAGAGAGAGAGAGAGAATCCCAAGCAGGCTCCATGTGGTCAGCACAGAGCCTGACATGGGGCTTGATCCCACGAACTGTGAGATCACGACCTGAGCCGACGTCAAGATTTGGACGCTGAACCCACTAGGCAACTCAGGTGCCCCTACGTTGTCACTATCTATATAAGCTAAATATTTCAGTCTACTGCCTACTCAATTTTCATTAAATGCAAACGTCCAGTCGTATAGGGGGACGGAGGTGCCAGCCTCTCAAAGGCCCCACGTTTCAAACAGACGATGAAGACTGCATAGCATCATCCACCAATGAGAAAGTGCAGATGTAAAATGTAACGGAAATGAATACTGTCGCCCGTCTTTTACCTGTGCAGCGTTCAGGCTGAGCCATGGGAAATCACCGCGTTGTACATCATGACACCGTGCGCAGTCACTTAAATTTTGGATTAAAGATCCTCTCTGGGAGTGGGTATCCCCGCCTCAAGCCCGTGTGTCTGCACGTTTTAGGAACTTTCCTGGTTCACATGCGCAGTAGAGCAGCCATGCGGTGTGTTAGGCGTGTGCCCCAGGAATGTCGTATCCACCGCTGAGGTCCTGGGTCAGGTCACAAATCTCCCTGCACACACACACACACACACACACACACACACACACA